TCTACATCTTTAAAAATATATGCGGACGACACAGGCTTCTCCATTTCCTGTGGCCCGCACAGCCGAGCGCCTCGGTCCTAGAGCATGCGCCTCCCACTTCCACCTGCCCCAGCACCGAGGGCTGCCCAGCAGTGCAGGGCTCTGGGCTTAATTTGAGTTGCAGATAAACAAAAAGAGCACCAGCACGGCTCAGGACATTCTCGGACTCAGAAACTGCTTGTTGTTTGCCTAAAATTCAGCTTCCCCCGAGTTCTGTCTGCATCTGCCTGCCTGCACCTCAGTCAGCTGGGAGGCCGTCCAGGGTGAAATGGGGCCCACAGCGTGTGGGAGGGACACAGAGAGAGGTGAGGCTGGGGGGCAGGCAGACAGTTCCTTCACATTGACCGACTGAGTGATGGGTGGAGGTGCTGCTATTGACAGAGCCCTGGTTCCACGCACGGAGGGAGCTCAGCTCCTGTGTCTTCTATGTGTAGATTATATTTCAACAAAGGATTTTAAGTGCTGATACTTTTTGTGGTCCCTAAAATGTATCAGGTCCCGGGGAAGTGGCAGGAGGGACTGGCCAGCCTCTCTGCAGGGCTCAGGCCCCTGGGTGGAAATGCCCCCAGGGCCTCTAACACTGCCCCCCCAGCCTTGGAGCCACTGGCCACCTGCCCTCTCTGGAGGCGCCCACATCCCATCCGCCAGATGGACTCACATATGGCCTGGGGAGCTGCCCGGGGCCCGACTCTGGGCCAGGAAACAGGTGCAGCTGCCCAGGGCCGGCATGACTCACCGGTGGTCCCTGCCCCCACCACAGGCAATGGGCTGGGCAGGGCCGCCAGTGTCACCCCTTCCCTCGGGGCCAGAGAACACCCTGCTGGGTGAGCCACCCGAGGGTGCAGTGGAGTCCCAGACTCCTGGCCATCAGGGACAGTCCCTGGGGAAGCTCATCGCCAAGAGCCCCCCCCTGGAGCAGGCCACAGCAGTCCCATGCCCTGGGGGGGAGGGGCAGCAACGTGTCTGCTTGGGCCGGGCCTGGTGGGCGGAGCCTGTGGGGC